CGTGTGTTTGTGACTGTCTTGTCTGTCGTGTCTGTCTGTCTGTACTGTGTCTGTGTGTCTGTGACTGTCTGTCTGTGTGTACTGTACTGTCTGTCTGTACGTCTGTCTGTGTTCTGTCTGATGTCTGTACTGTGTGTCTGTCTGTCTGTGTGTTTGGTCTGTGACTCTGTCTGCGTCTCTGCCTCTGTTGATTTGCTTATTTTGTCTGTTTCTTTTTCTCTGTTTGTACGGCTCTGTCTCTTTCTCTTCCGCTCTCTCTCTCTCTCTCTCTCTCTCTCTCTCTCTCTCTCTCTCTATCTATCTATCTATCTATCTATCTCTCCCTCTATCTCTCTCATTCTATCTCTGTTTGTTTGGCTCTGTCTCTTTCTCTTCCGTTTCTTTGTCTGTCTGTCTGTCTGTCTGTCTGTCTGTCTCTCTCTCTCTCTCTCTCTCTCTCTCTCTCTCTCTCTCTCTCTCTCTCTCTCTCTCTCTCTCTCTCTCGCTCTCTCAACAACATCAACAACAATAATAATAATGATAATACTACTACTACTTATAATAATAATAATAATAACAAAGAGACTACTACTAACAATACTGACACTACTGCGAATGATGATAACGACAATGGTAACGATAAAGAATAACCACAATAACTCTAATATTCATAACAAACATATTATAAACAGCATATAGAGCAGCACAAATGACGTTAATAATAATAAACAGCAAGAGAGAACAGCAAAATGATTATAATAATAATGATAGTTAATAAAAATAAACAGCATATAGTACAACAAAAATATATCAATAATAATTAACTAAAATTAACAGCATATGGAACATCAAAATAATAATAATAACAATAATAATAATGATAATAATAATAATAATAGTAAAAATAATGATAATAATGATAACGATAATCTTAATACTAATAATAATTATAATAATAATAACAATAATAATAATAACAATGGTAATAATAATAATAATAATAATATTGATAATAATACTACTACTAATAATAACAATAATAATAAAATAATAATAAAATAATAACAAAAATAATAATGATAACAACAATATAACGATGATGATAACAACAACAATAACAATAACAAATAACCAAAACAAACAGCATATCCGGCAGAATGAGCGAAACCTACTTCCTGTCGAAGATGGGTTTCAACAGCGACATCTTGGGCAAGGCAAGCGCCGAGAATTTCTTGGCGATGGCTTCGGTGCCGTAGGTGAGTCGACAGCGGCGGTCATTTGCTTTGTTTTTGTTCATGTTGTAGTATGCGCCCGTAGCCCCCACTGGCAAGGGAGGGAGAGGGTTAGTGGGGTTGGGAGGGAGGGAGAGGAGGAGGGAGGGGAGGGTGGGGGGAGGGAGAGGAAAGGGAGAAGGGAGGGGAGAGGGGAGGAGGGAAGGAGGAGAGAGGGAGAGAGAGAGAGAGAGAGAGAGAGAGAGAGGAGAGAGAGAGAGAGAGAGAGAGAGAGAGAGAGAGAGAGAGAGAGAGAGAGAGAGAGAAGAAGAAAGAAAAGAAAGAAAAAAAATGAGAAAATGAGAAAGATAAGACCAAAAACGAGAGAATAATAGTAAAAAAAAAAAAAAACATTAGAAAAAAAAAAAACAATAAAAAAAGGCGGTGGCGTAGATATGAAATTTGACAATGTATCGAGATCTTTAGATTTTTCGACAATTAGATTAGTCCCACCGTTCAATGCTGAAAGAAAACGGAAGGCGATCAGCTGACAAAACACCCATCCTCACGACCAGCGATGTAGTGGCAACGCAGCACTGATCTGGCGCCGGACTCTCAAAATAACCTTAATTTAAGGCGCGCTGGAGGCCTTAACCGTCCTGCTGTATTTCCCTTGTATAAGAGCGAAGGGTGTTGATTTCTCCCCGCCGTAGAGCGCTAAAGGCTGCTCTTCCCCTGCCTTAACCTAAGCCGCCTCAACTCGCACCAAAATGGCGGTTTCCTTGCTCTGCGCATGGGCCGACAGGTCGCTCGGCCGTAAGTCAAGGAGATACGGCGCCTTAACGCGTTTGAGAATCCGGCTCCTGATGCAGAACTTCTTATTTAAACTAACTCGTCATAAATTTCGTGTTAAGCTGACCTCAGGAAGCGAACATTAAAGATATTTAAACTCCTGTGACTAGGATGGAAACAGAGAAGTTAACATTTTTTTCTCGACAAGGATTGAAAAATTCCGACAAAATTCTCTTTATATGAGACTGGGGGGCAAATACCCTACCTGCCCCCCCCCATCCCCCTTCCTCTATCTACGCCACTGAGACAGAGGTGGGATGGGGGGGGGGAGTGGATGAGATAGGGTGGAAGGGAGGGAGAGAGAGAAGGTAAGAGTGAGTGGGTAGGAAATGGAGGGTGAGGAGGAGAAGTGTGAGTGCGACGGGAGAAAGAGGAAGAAGGAGGGAGAGAGAAAGAGAGGTGTAGGGAAGTAGAAGGACAAGGAAGAGGGAGGTGAGAGAGAAAGAGAGTGTGTATGGAAAAGGGAGAGAGGAGGGGTGTTGGAAGAAGAGGGAGAGGGAAGGAAGGGTGAGTGGGTTGAGGGAAGGGAGGGAGTGGGTGGAACCAGAGTGAGGGGGTAAGAAGGAGGGAGGAGAGAGGGAGGGAGGAGCGACGAGAAAGAGAGAGTCCGACCAACCGATATCATAGATAAATATATAACCACAGAAATAAAGTAGAAACATGAAAAACAAAGAGAAAAAGGGAGAAAAAAAAAAACGAAAACCACACCACAACAATAAACAAACAAATACAAAAAGGGGCAAATATGACGTACTGACAATCGCAATATCCCGACTCTCCAACTGCTCGACGTCTGTGCGACTCTCTCCCTGCGCCCCCTGGTTCTCCCTGATGGCGCCGCGCTCCTTGGCCCTCCGGTACAGAATCTGATAGTCCTCCGTCTTCGTCGCCTGCGAGCAAGGGTGACGGACGACAGTTAATCAATCAGTTAATTAATTAATTATCAGTTAATTAATTAATTATTTAATTAATTAACAGTTAATTAATCAGTTATCATTAATTAATAATTAGAAATATCATTAATTAATAATTAGACAGTTAATTAATCAGTTATCATTAAATATTAGAAATATCATTAATTAATAATTAGACAGTTAATTAATCAGTTATCAATGGTTGTAAAATCAAGGGTGCGAGGGGGTACGGGTGTAGAGATATTGGTAAGGGTGTGTGTGGGGGGGGGGTACAGGTGGATACAGGTGTATAGATATTGGTAAGGGTGTGGGGGGGATACAGGTGTATAGATATTGGTAAGGGTGGGGGGGGGGTACAGGTGTACAGATATTGGTAAGGGTGTGGGTGGGGGTGGGATGTACAGGTGTAGATATTGGTAAGGGTTGGGGGGATACAAGGTGTATAGATATTGCTAAGGGTGGGGGGGGGATACAGGTGTATAGATGTTGGTAAGGGTGGGGGGGGGGGGTACAGGTGTACAGATATTGGTAAGGGTGGGGGGATACGGTGTGCAGATGGTAAGGTGAGGGGGATACAGGGTATAGATATTGGTAAGGGTGGGGGGGGATACAGGTGTACAGATATTGGTAAGGGTGTAGGGTGGGAGATACGCGTGTGCAGATGTTGGCATGGCTGCGAGGGGGTACAGTACTATAAATATTGGTAAGGATGTGAGGGGATACGGGTTTATAAATGTTGGTCAGGGTGTGGGGGGGGGGATACAGGTGTATACATATCTGCAAGGCTGCGACAAGTTATAAATGTTAGTATTAGTATTGCTATTTACATATGTCGATAAGAGTTGATGAGATATATATAATTATGTTGCCGAATGTTCATAAGCATATAAAGGGATACCGATATTTTTAATTAATACCAAGTAGGGCATTAGTGTGCACACATACGTACAGAGAGATGGGAAAGAGTGAGGAAGAGAGAGAAGCGAAGAGAAGAGAGGAGAAAACAGGGAACTAACCAGAGCCAGGAGGAGACAGCCATGAAAAAAAAAGAAAAAAAAAAATAAAAAGAAGAAAGAGACCTTGACGATGTCGTGCGCGCCATAAGCCTTGTCCAGAGCGATGGTCCAGTCGCGCAGAACCAGCTCCCCGATGGTGGCGGGAGGCTTGGTCACCCTCGGCTTGGAGAGGAAGGCCGTCAGATTCCCGCTGTACACTGCGAACAGGATGATCACCACCGCCCAGATGCACACGTACACCACGCGCCCTGGAGAGCTGGTCGGGGACTGGGGTGATCCTGGTGGGAGGGAGGAGTAGGGGGGAAGGGAGGAGGAGAGGAGGAGGTAGGGGAAGAGAGGAGGAGGAGGAGGAGGAGGGGAAGGGAGGAGGAGGAGGAGGAGGAGGAGAAGGAGGAGGGGAGGAGGAGGAGGAGGAGGCAGGAGGAGGAGGTAGGCGGAGGAGGGAGAGGGTAGGAGGAGGAGGAGGAGGAGGAGGAGGGAGGGGAAGGGAGGAGGAGGAGGAGGAGGAGGTAGGGGAAGGAGGAGAGGGAGGAGGAGAGGTAGGGAAGGAGGGGGAGGGAGGGGAGAGGAGGAGGTAGGAAGAGGAGGGAGAAGGAGGAGGAGAGGGAGGAGGAAGGGAGGTTAGGGAGGGGGGAGGTAGGAGGCTAGGGGAAGGAGGAAAAGGAGGGAGGGGGAGGAGGAAGGTGTAAAAGCTTGGTTATTTTTTTATGCGAAGTACTATCCTTCATTTTGTTTTATCTTCTACATTCTTTTCTTCTAAATATGTGTATATGCATACATATACACGCATACATACATACCACACATACATTTTTTCTTATAAAGGTGACCGTGCACTGAGGAGGTTCGGAAGGAATGTCAAAATAATATTACTATTTCAGGTAACCCTCATCACCAAACACTGCCAACACCTTCACTTCCATCATCACCAAAGGAGCCAACGCCGACGCGGCCGCATAACCGCATCCTCCCTTCGCCTCCAGCCACGGGGCCCTCATGGCGAGTCGCCAGGCAGGTCCCCGGGCCATCTCTAGCTCTTCACGGCGTCTGGTCGATCTGCCCAGGCCGCGACTTCCTAGGTCTTCCCATAGGCCTCCTCCACGCAGGATTGTCTCGATTTTAAAACGAGAGAGAGAGAGAGAGAGAGAGAGAGAGAGAGAGAGAGAGAGAGAGAGAGAGAGAGAGAGAGAGAGAGAGAGAGAGAGAGAGAGAAACCTGATGGGCAGGGTCATCCACAGGGAAACGAGCGAGGTGCCCGTATAGCCTGAGTTGGCGGTCCCGGATTATGCAAGTAACATGTCACGGTGTCATCGTCGGCTGGACACATGGTCCCGCCAACTGTACCCTATGATCCGGCGTAGGAACTTGTTACAAAAGGCTTCGAGGCGTGACTCCAACGCACTAGATAGCGTCCAGAGTTCGCCTCCATAGAGTAAAACTGGCATTATCAAAGCCTTGAAGTCCTTAGTCCTACATAGGTACCGTCACCTCCAAATACTCTTGTTGACTGAGTTCATGTCTCCTGCTGCCAGACCAATCTGTCTACTGACCTGGTTTGACAAGGCCAGAGACATGGACTGCACTACCAAAGTATGTAAACCTCTCTGTGTGGCTTCAACGTCCTCCCCGCAAGCACGCATAAACTAAACAGGTTCTCCTAACAGGCCCCAAATCCTGGATCTTATCTTCACCTTGTTTCGGTTAATCACGCACGTGCTCTTTGCAAGCATACCTAAACACTTAAATAACACCACATATTTGAACGATCAGCAGCCAACGCATTAAACACACTCACCTTGATAAACAGCAGTACGTAACACAATCGCCAGGATGGTAGCGAAGCTTGCGAACATATTTTCTCGCTTATTATTTATACAGTTGAACTGAGGACATGGCGGTGTGTCACGATTCGTAGGAAACCAAAACATCCACAGCCATAGTGCCGAGGCGACCAAGAACGCGGTTATGATGACCCAACTCTGCAAGCAAGGAAGTTAGTTTGTAATTTTGTCATGATTTAAAATAAGTGAAACGAATATCTGATAAAAATGAAGTAAGATTAAATAAAGGCTGATAAATTATATATGAAAAATGAAAAGATATATCCAGATAAAGAATAAAACTTTTGGCTTTTTTCATGATTTAACTCTCGGGAAGCAAAACGAATATTTGATAAAAAAGAGAAATAAATGAAAATAAAGCCTGATAGATTATATATGAAATATAAAAAAGCCAGAAAAATATAAAGCATGATAAAGTGAGAGTAATGAACGTGTTCGTATTTGTGAAATATAAAACACATAGGTATTTATTGTGGGTCCAGTTTCCGGAAAGAAAAAACGGCCTTTTGTCTAATTTAGTAAATAAACAATGAAAAGTAAAGTCTGATAAACTTTTTGACATAAAAAACAATAAATGTAGTCTGATAAACTTTTTGACTTGTAAAAAATAATAAAAGTAAAGTGATAAACTTTTTTTACATAAAAAAAAAAAGAAAGTCTGATAAAGCTTTTTGGAGTTATAAATAAAAACTGAAAAGAAGTCTGATAAAGCTTTTTGGGGTTATAAATAAACAACAGAAAGTAAAGTCTGATCAAGCTTTTGGAGCTATAAACAAACAACAAAACCAAAGCCACAAAATGACCAATAAACCGAATTCTCTCCCCGAGTGAAGCCACGAGCGAACCACCTCGTCTCCCCGCTTTACCTTACCTGCCACGTGTAGAGCTTAAAGAGAATGAGAGGGTCGTTAATGATGCTGGGAGCTCTCGTGAGAAAGATCATGGGGTCAAACAGCGTCCAGGTCGTGTAGTCGATGGCCAGCAGGCGGTGGTGCGTGATGCTGAGGGAGGCCAAGCCGAGGTCGCCCTCCTGAAGGGGACGGTGGATGGGCTGGGATGTGTAGATATGAGAGAGAGGGAGGGGGGGGGGAGAGGGAGGGGGAGGGAGGGGAGGGAGGGGGAGATGGGATAGAGAAGGGGAGGAGAGGAGAGAGAGAGAGGGAGGGAGGGAGGGAAGGGAGAGAGGGGAGAGAGAGAGGAGGGAGGAGAGAGGGAGGAGGGAGGAGGGGGAGAAGGGAGGAGAGGGAGGGAGGGAGGGAGAGGGGGGAAGAGAGGGGGGAGGGAGAGAGAGGAGAGAGAGAGAGAAAGAGAGAAAGAGACAGAACAGAGACAGACAGACATAGTGAGAGAGAGAGAGATCCAAAGATATAAAGTATAGATGGCTAAACATGTAGAGATAGACAGACAATAACAGTATTTAGATAGACAGCAATACATAGATAGATGTATGAACCGACATATAGACTGTAACTATTGCTATTATTTAAATGCCAAATTCTCCTATCCTAGCTTGACAAGGATTTTTTTATGAACGCTATTCACAGCTATTTTATTTGTTTACTTTTATATCAACTTATTTACGTATCTGTTTATAAATTCATGAATTAATTCGTTTATCAAAGATGATTCAGACATATATGAATTCATTTCTCCATGTATGTGTGTGTGTATACATCCATCTGTAAATGCGTTCATGTGTATATGTGTTGTATATGAAGCAACGAATATGTATGTTTGCGTGTGTGTGTGTGTGTGTGTGTGTGTGTGTGTGTGTGTGTGTGTGTGTGTGTGTGTGTGTGTGTGTGTGTGTGTGTGCCTGTGTGTGTGTGCGTGTCCGTATCCCCGTATGCGTAGCCCATGTCCGCGTGCACATTTGTCCGTGCCCTTCCCCTTCCTCCCCTTACCTTCCCTCCCTCTCCTCCCCCTCTCCCCACCCCTCCCTCCCTCCCTCCCTCCCTCCCCTCCCTCTCCCTCCCCCCCTCCCCTCCCCTCCCTCCCTCCCCCTCCCCTTCCCCTTCCCCTTCCCCTCCCCCCCCCCCTACCTTCCTCTCGATGTGGCCGACCACGCCGTCGTAGGACCCGTTCGCCCCCACGTTCCCGAAGCCCGACCCCTCCATGATGGCGTAGCGGAAGTTGGCCGAGGAAGCCAGGGTGTTGATCACGTGGCCGAGGAACCCCACGAGGTAGAGCGGTTGGGGCCCACGCGGATGGCCTCGATGAAGTCCTGAGGGGGGGGGGGGTGGTTGGGGTGAGTGGGGGGGTTGGTGGTTGGGGGTTGGGGGTGGGGGGGTTGGTGGTGGGGGAGGGGGTGAGGGGGGGGTTGGAGGGTGAGGGGGGTTGGGGTTGAGGGGGTTAGGGTGAGGGGGTTGAGGGTGAGGGGGGTGGGAGGGGGGTTGGGTGAGGGGAGAAGGATTAGGGGAGGAAGGAGCGGGATGGGGGAGGGAGAGGTTGGTAGAGGGTGGGAGGATGAGGGGAAGGGTGGATGGGGGTGGGGTGAGGGAAGGTAGGGGGGAGGAAGGGTTTGAAGAGAACGGGAAGGAGGAAGGGAAGGTAAGAACGAAGAACAGAGAAAGTGGAAGAGGAGGGAGGAAAGAGGGAGACAAAAGAAGGGGAAAGGGAAGGAATAAAGATAGGGGAAGAGGAAGGAAAGGGAAGAGGAGGAAGGAGGGAGAAGGGATTAAAGATGAAAAAGAAGAGGAGAATGAAACTAGGAAGGAAAAAGGAAAAGGGGGAGAGAAGAAAAGAAGGAAGAGAAGGAGGAGGAGAGAGAAATGAAATCAATAGAGTAGAGTGAAGGAAGGAGACAAAGGAAAATGAGGAGAAGGAAGCAGTAAGAAAAGCGAAGGAAATATAAGATGCAAAGAAAGGGAGAATTGGAAGGAATAAAGGAAAGGTAAGAAAAAAGAGAAGGAGGTAAAAGAAAAAAATAAGAAATATATTTGTTAAATATTCATTGCACTTCCATGATATCTAATCATATAATAAGAAAAAAAACATGGACAAGCATCTAAACGAAAGAAGAAAGAGGGAGAAAGACAAAAGAAGGAGAAAAAAAAGGAGAAACAGAAACATAATTACGATAAGCTTTGAAATATATAAGAAATAATTATAAAACTTAAAAAACACCTTTACTGACCCAATAATAATAATAATATAATAATAATAATATCAATATTAATATTAATAGCAACAACAACAAATAATAATAATAATAACAAAAATAGAAATAATAATGATAACAAAAACACCTGCACTAACCTAATCATAATAATAATGATAATAACAATAATAATAATAGTAATAATAATAATGATGATAATAATAATAATAATGATAATAATAATGATAATAATAAAATATAATAATTATAACAATAGTAATAAAATAACAACAACAAAAAATAAAAATAATAATAATGATAATAAAGATAAAAGAACTGCATTGAAATAATAATAATAACAGTAACAACAACAACAACAAAAATAGAAATAATAATAATGATAATAAAAGCAAAACAAAAAGCCGCCTGCACTGACCTTGACAATGACAACCTTCACTTCAGCTCCTTCCAGGTCTGTCACGGCAGGTAGGAGTGGCTTCCTCAGACTTAGGCCACGCCCACTCTTGTCCCAGCAGCCCACGCTCTGTTTTGGGTTGTTGGAGAATTCATTTCTAGGCTAATGGAGGCTAATAGACTAAGGCATTTCGCTCGGATGTGTCGTGGAAGTGAATGTCTCTCTCTTTCTCTCTATTTCTCTTTCTGTCTGTCTCTCTCTCCTGTCTTCTTCTCTTCTCTCTTCTCTCTCTCTCTCTTCTCTCTCTCTCTTTCTCTCTCTCTCTCTCTCTCTCTCTCTCTCTCTCTATATATATATATATATATATATATATATATATATATATATATATATATATATATATAATATATATATATATATATATATATATATATATATATATATTAGAAAGAGCAGCTCAAATCCCAAATTAGAAATCCTGGTGTATTCAATGAAAGATGGCATAATGCACAACCGCATTGATATGATGAATATAGAACCTCTCCAATAGGGATTCGAACCCTCCTCGCCGCTGCAGGTAACTTGCAAGACCTCACGTGTACATTTTTTTTCTTGTGTGTGTGTGTGTGTGTGTGTGTGTGTGTGTGTGTGTGTGTGTGTGTGTGTGTGTGT